TCTGATAACTGGCAAGCTATCTTTTTTCTTTTTTCTTATGAAAATATAATTAGATAATTTTTCCCTTCCCTTTCCTTCTCCAACCCCTCCCATGCATCTCATGGCCTCTTTTTGATTATTGTTATATACATAAATATACTTGCCTGTTGCTATTTAATTATATTTTAATTTTTAAAAAGATACAAAACATAGCCTGACAGTTATCAGACGATTTCTACCAGAAACAATGTGATCAATAGACAATAGGGTGCCATTTTCTGACACCCCCCCCACTAAAGAAATGAACAGTCTACAGTTATAGACTGAAGGAAGGAGAAAACTGTCTTTCAATAATAAAGACAAACTATTTTCATATTTAAACAAAAAAACTACAAGCAAGGCTTAGGGCACATGCCTTTAACTCTAGCACTCAGGAGACAGAGGCAGGTGGATCTCTGTGAGTTCAAGGGCAGCCTGGTCAACATAAAGAGTTTCAGGACAATCAGGGAGGGCTACATAGCAAGACCCTGTCTTGACAAAACAAAACAAGTGGCTATCACTAACCAAAAAAAACTTTATTCTCCCTTTGAGACAGGGTCTTAATCTATAGTCCAGGGTAGGCTCAAATTTGGGATTCTCCTGCCTCAGCATCCTGAGTGTTGAGATTGTAAGCATATACTACCATGCCCAGCCTCACCAAAAGAATGTCCAAGGATGTTCATCAGGAAAAAGAAAGTGAGCTCCAAAGGAAAGCCTTAGATAGACACAGGTAATAAGGATTATTATTTGAAAAACTGTTTGTAAAATAGCTAATTCTGCACATGTAGAAAACACAAGGCTAATGAGATGACTAAGAGGCAGGCCGGTAACAGCAGTTACCACCAATACTGACAATCTAATCCCTGGAACTCACACAGTAGAGAGAAAGAACCAATTCCTGAAAGTTGTCCTCTGACCTCCACGTGCATGCCATGGCACCCCCGCCCCCCCAAAAAAAATGCTCAAATAAATGCAAACAAAACAAACCAAGAAGATTGAATAATAGCATCACAAGATCAGAGAAATGACAATGTTAATAGTATTTCCTTCCCCAGTGGACTGTCTGGACGTCCACTCTGGAGATCATGAGCCTGGACTTCTTGCATTCACTCGGGGTCAGCTACAAAAGCGGTCTTCTAAGGGGTCTTGTCAAATGCTAGCAAGCCAAGCCACAAAGGAGTTGTAAGTGTTTGATAAGGGGAAAAGGACAGGGACTCTGGGAGACTAAGCAGCAAGGGACCAAAGGAGTAAATAATAGCATATCCTGTTCTTCTTCTACTAAGGTACACATGTGTTCATTTTAAATCTCTAAGCCCAAACCAAATAAACCACCTCCTAGAAGCAATAGCCAGAGCAGAGCAACAGTTTAAGAGTTCAGAAATCTAGTGTGACCTTGGGCAGGTCACTTGACTCTCTGAAGCCTTCAGCCTTGGGTGATATATGTAATGGCTACCTTTGCATATGTCGAACATGTGCTTTGATGAACTGATTCAAGACGGAATTTACAGCACTGATCTCTTACAAACATTAGTCACCGAGGACAACACAGGAGGCAGTCCAGCCAGCAAGAGCACGGCCACACAACAGGTACTAGACTCATGCAGGGAGCAGAGCCAAGGGGAGGGGAAAGCCATGCAACCCACTTGTTTTTCCATCGACACCTAATGACAGTCACTGAACAACCTGCCACTGGCCACCTAAGCTACTGTAACAGCTTGTTACAGTTGCCACATGAATTTCCAGTCTACCGAAAGATACACCAGTGAGAGGTTTATTAAGGGCTTTTGAACCTAGCCAAATGTATACTTTTAAGACATCCCAAGAAATAATCATATTGACTTCCCTCATGCTGATCTCTAATAAGGGACACCACATTGTTTTTCAACACGGAAAATCAGCCAGGGCATTGCTGTCCCACTAGCAGGAGTGTCAGCAAAGGTTTTCCAAAACATCTACAAAGTTGTTTCATTGAAGAAGAAAGAGACACATATAGTAATATATTTTAGTATAGCTCCTATATCCATACTGGCATTACCCAAGAGTGGCCTGACCATAAAAAAAAAAAAAAGAAGAAGAAGAAGAGAAAAACAAGTTTTTCAAACATGTTTTTATTTTCCTAGACCTACTTGTTACAACATAAAGTCAAACGCAGTTTACAGAGATTCTATTCTTTGTAACATGTCTCTTCTTCACTACAAAGTGTTTACTCCCTTAAAAACTAATCACTGTTTCCTGTTATAGTTAGTCAGTTGAAGCCTGTCAACAAGGCACACACAAACCTTCATCTACGAGCACTCTGGAAGATCACACTGAATGTTCCTAAAGAACAATTCTTTCTCTGCTCTACACAGTGGTAGGTGAGCAGCAGGATCACACATTCCTTCTTGGAATTGTATGGTGTATATATATGTATATGTATGCGTGTATGTATGTATGTATGTATGTATATATATATATATGATTAAGAAATGTTTATGTTGAAGAGTAATCGTGTTATAGTGTTTTTGGCTACTGTCTTTACAAAAAAAAAAGACCTAAAAGTCATATGAAGTGAACATTTTTTCATAGATTTTTTAAATATGTCAATATTTTTATATAGATATTCTTAATAAGAATGGATATACTTAAAAATGTCCTGGATGATTACAAACAAATGCACATTTTGGCTACAGTGCTGGCATTAATTCATGCACTGACAAGCAAGCTTGTTACTCTGTTTCACTGATGGAAGGTAGGGAACATGGATAAGGCCGTTTAAGAGTCCAGTGGTCATTTAACAGCCTCCAGCGGTGGTCTCTTCAATACACACGTGGAACACTTAGAGAGACAATTTAGCCCTAGCTACCCTCAATCTTCTACTGTACACCACTTGGGATTGCATTTACGTCTCCTGTCAGCTCTGAGTGGGGAGAGGCTGTGCCTAAGCCCTTCTGCATTCCCTTCCAGGTCAAAATCAGAGTTAAGTGCACACTCATTAATTAACAGCCAGAGCAGAGTGGATGTTTTCCACAGCAATGAGGAGATAATTAGGACGTAGATAAGGTAATCTAAACGGAGAGCCAGCTATGCTGTACCCGAGAAGAAACGACCATGCAGAGGCTCTGAAAGAACATGCTCAGAAACAAAGCAGATGAGTTTCCATGGCCCAACCATCCTCAGAAGGTACAACGAAATTTATAATCTATGGCTGCTTAGCTTTAATATGCCCATGCTGGTCTTTTGTTCTTACACGCGAAGCTGCATGTGGTACAATTCCTTGCTGCATATTTCTATAAAGCCATCCCGTGTCTATATAAAGAACCCTATCCACACGAGCCTAAAAACAAGGCAGAGCAGTCAAAACCCAGGACACAACCAAGGAACGGGAATTCTCCACACTAGGTTAACACACAGAATTCTGATCCTAAAACAAAGGTCATCGTCTGCTTGGCTCTTCACTGTCACTTTTAAATGACAGGAAATTTTTTTAATGATAATAATTCTTTACCTTTGAAAATCGACTGCCACCAAATTCTTTACCTTTTCCTCCAACCTCCTTTAACCTTTCAGTGAAAATTATGCAGCCATTTCATCTCTAAAACAACAGTCACGGTGCAAATTGAGCAATAAGGTACAATGGTGACAGCCCTGGTGTCTTCATCATTTTAAGTGTAGGACACAGGAGAGGACAAAGCATACCGGAACAACTTCCTAGTTCTTCTAACAATGGTTTCTGTAGAATTATGTTCTTTTCCCTTCGTGTGTGTGTGTGTGTGTGTTACACGTGAACCCTACTCTCTAGATAAAACACCATGTTTATGCCTCATTTGCCCCTTCAAAAAGTGAGCCTGCCTGTCTCCCCTCCCCTATCTTTTGTCTCACAACACTAAAGCACTTGAGTATTTTTACTTTACAATCCCTATGAAGTCACTGGTACATTAAGCACTGGAGGACTGATGAGGGAAGTAGACAGCCAGAGAGCTCTGGGCAACCAAGCAAAACCTAGATCCCCCCCTAGCTCCTTAAAACTTGTCAGCAATCAGACCAGACCCTGTGGAGCCTCCGGGTCCCTTTGCAGGTCTCCGAGGATTTTAAAACAACAGGGACAGAAAACCACCTTTCCAGCAAAGGGACCTGCACACACGTAAGAACACAATCGTCCTGTTTCAGAAGATGAAATTACAGTTGGCCTTTCTCTTGGTTTGTTAGAGTTCAAATGTTGCCGAGCGAACATCTCAATCTTGATTAAAAAAAAAAATTAAACCCAACAAAACTAAACAAAGAAGCTCCTGAGGGCAATTTGATCAGACACAGAAAAATCTTCCCTTCAAAGAAATGTGCCTTGTGACACTCCGAAGAGAAGTACTTAAAACCTGTCCCTGAGTCATGAACATTTGGTTTGAGGAAGAGAAGCCAGTTGGCTTCCTGGAGCTTTTAAACCTTTTCTTTCTCACCTTGGGGCTACAGAAGCTGTAAGTGAAATCTTCCACTCTTCACTGAGAGTATTATAGTGACATAAAGTCACACTCACACACACACACCCCTCTACTTCACTGCCCTCTTTATCCCTAAGGTGCTTGTCGTGCCCCCCCCCCCCCGCCACCCAGTGTGGACCTGACATTACAAAAAGCAAAGTCATGGGGCAATGCGGGGGGTAGGGTGGGGTGTATGTTTGCAAAGGACTCAAAAATCCAGAAAAGCTAAGGGCTGAAAGATCCCAGGACAGCCGAGGTGTAAGAGGTTCGGCTGGCTCGTGGGCTGTCGCCAAGCAAGCATCCATTCACTCGGGTGGGGGGTTGGGGGGACGATCAGAATGCTGGGGTCCTCACGAAGCCACTCTGGACACACACCCTCTGCCCTCCATCACCTTCCGCATCCCCTCAGGCAGGACCCCTCCGAGCAGAGGGCCGCCCCGGGCTCCCCCTGTAGGGACGGGAAGGACAGGGAGGGTGGGTCAGGCCGGGCTCGCCCAGGTGACCGCGCTGGAGGCTCGGTGGACTCACGTTCTCCGTATCCCGCTCGTTCACCGTGGGCAATGGCGTCCGAGCCGACATCTTGCGCGGGCGGCGGGGTCGGGCCGGGGGTCCGGCGGGTCGCGGACCGCGGAGGGCTTCGGCGAGGGCGGACGCCCACGAGCAGGCCGCGCCGGGGAGCGCGCGGCTCCCGCAGGCCGCGGAGCGGGAAGGCGGGCGAAGACGCGGGGACCGAGCTGCGGGGACGCCGGTCGGGCGCGGAGGGCCGCGGCGGGCTGACTGGAGG